AAGAGATGGAGGGTTCTGTGGACAGCCACTGAGATCCTCAAGATCCTCATTTCTGAAAATGGCTCGTATCCCAGAGCATTACCCACCCAATGCTGGTGGAAGCCAAAGGGATGTTCTGGGCACACTGCTTTGCCTCAGAGACTGGCCACTCCCTACTCCTTCTGCATGGAAGTATTTTGGAAAGCAAAATGCTTTCTGGCCTGTAGGAGTCAATGGCCTCTGCTTTGGCTGCAGCCTCTCTACTCCATATGCAGACTCTGGCAGGGAAAGTTTGTTCTGTAACTAGCACTTGAAAGAAGCACCACGGCCTGTTAAAATGCCTATCAAATCCCAGAGCAGCACTACCAGGGTCTATTCATCATACCAAGAACACTTGTATGAGAGAGATGCTGAAATATGCTGAAATCTTTCATGTGGTTCTGGGAGCACCACCTTCTCCGCAAGGTGGCCTCTGCTTTGGAGCCCCATCTTCCAGCCAGGCCTTCCCCCAGCTCCCAATGCCCCTTGAAAAAAAGACTACAGTTTACATTTAATGTATGGGCTGTCTGGCCCCTGGGTAGGCACTAGAGCAATTTTTACCGACACTGTTGTTCTCCCTTTTGTTAGAAGTGATCCCTGAATGCTGGGTGCCTGCAAAGATTACACATAGGGCTGAACTTAAACACCTTTGAGCCCGCAACAGAAAGCACTGACAAACCAGGCAGAACTTCACCACTCAGGCAGCGTGTGCAAGCCTGGCTGATTAAGAGCTGATATGTCACAGGGGTCTCTTTTAATGCTCTTTTCTAGCCTAAGGTCCATGAAAACTCCGTATCAAAGTAGTTGCTACACTTGACTTCTACTTCCTTTGCAGAACTGGCTGGCACAGGGATCCATTTTCCCAGCAGAGGTCCATGGTTTGCCTCTTGGTAGTTCATTCCCTTTGAAGTTACAACTGAAATGATTAAATGCATTGCTCAGAAAACAGTCATAAATCTCTGTGAAAAGGATTATGTGCCAGTTTTTATGTATAAGCACTTCTTCAGCTTTCTGCAGCACTGAATTCTCATTTACCTGATTGAAACAGCAAAGCAATACAGAAAGCCAGCTTACAGTGAGAGCGGTTCAACCACAGGACAATGTTATCTCAAGACAGCCCAAGTAGAAATGCATTAACTATTTAAGGAAGCACCACAAATAACCTGCATCACGCCCAGGGTGATCAGCCACCAGAGATCACAAGGCAAATGCCAGCAGAAATTAGTGTAACTTGACTCCCAAAGGCATAGTTTTTAAAATATAGACTTCTAGTTAGAAATTACAGGTAAGATTTAAGCTGTTTCACACAGCTTGAGACATGCTGCACAATGGATTTCTCCCTTGTCTTGCCACAGTGTTGGTAATAAAATCTGTTTATCCAGAGGCCTCCTGCTTCTTTCCTCCCAAGAAGAGCAGAAGAAAAAAACATTGTGCAAAACATCTGAAGCATGTCAGTCCTCCACTCAACACCCTCCTAACTCTGGAGCTGCACTTTTGGTACACTGTTTACATAAAGCTGGGTAGCCCTCAAAACGTTTTTAGTTGCATTCTCCCTCAAATTTTGTCTTATACAAGCAAGAATGTTTGAACAGAGGTTTGGAATTGGTTTTTCTATCTCAAATGTTGCTTACCCATAGCAGATTTTGAGATCAAAGTCTGTTCCTTAAGGTAAGGCCAGTGGAGACAGTACATCCTTCCTGCAGTGCACAACAGCCTGGATAGGCAGGCTTTCACGGCAGGGCTTAGGCACGGCAGGATTCCCAACACCTTCATTTCTGCCTCCACTGAGAAAGGCAATGACAAACGCATCTTCTCAGACCACTTTTGCCAAGCAACACAATGAAGACCATGGAAATGTGGCTCTCATTTATGTCACTAAACTTTGAGGTATTTGGGAATATTGCTTGTAATTTTAACAATTGTAATTTAGTGAGCATGATGAACAGATGACTGCTTTTAAAGACTGAAAAACTGTCATTATTTTAGCATATTATGCCCTTCAATTGTTAAAAAAATCATTATCTGTCTACTTTAATTTATACATTTGTGTCATCCAAGATTGGAGACAAGTTATATAAAACACATATGCATTTTCTAGGGCCAAACTGAGCCACATCAAAGGTCTATCCAGCAGTGACCAGAAGTCCATGCCAAGTAAAGCATAAAAGATGGTAATTTTCCCCCAGTTCTTAGCTGGGGAGTTGGATGAGTTGGAGCTTCTGAGTTAGATGTGGCTTCTGCATACTTAGTAACCTGAATTTCTTATTTCAACTTGGCAAATCTCTCTTTGAGCCTGCATAAACGTTCAGCACACTCCTGGTATCCTGCAGGAAGAAGCTCCCTAGCTCAGCTACCTGTTGCAGGCCACTTGCTTGGCTTGCTTGGAACCTGTCTTCTCTGAGATTCATTTCATACACCCTAAGTTCTACGTGCCCCCATCCTCCACACAACCATGGATGCACAGACCTCTCACACCCCCAGTCCTGTAACGAATGCTATAGCAGCTCTAAGGGATCACAAATTCTGACCTCACAACTCAGTGCTTTTTCAACCCCCTACCTTACACCTACCCCTAATGTTGACCCCAATAAACCCTGGAAAATTACAATGCTCCGTCGGGTTCATCCTATGTCAGCCAAGACCCCAGCCCAGATCTAACTTCATTAATTTCACAAAGACTGCCACACATTTCCAAACTACTGTTTATCTTTTTTTTTATTCCACTGTTATCAGCCTTCCTTCTAGTCCCACAGAGCTGGCCAAGTCTTAGGATAATTTTCAACTCTGTTGAAAACCATAACATTTACCCTGGCAAGACATGCACAAAAACCACATTTCTAGCTCAAATAAAGACAACTCCTTGAAAACAGAAAACTCCCATTTGTGACCTAAATGGTCTTCAGAGTTACAAAACAATTTGCCCACTGCATGAGAATAACCCTTGCTTCAACTACAGTAATGATGTTACTAATCACTTCAAGAGCACTACGCAAAGCCGATTCTTCTTTTAGTTTCTGGTCTCAACACCAAACTTAGCTCTTCCACTGCCTTCTTCCCAACTCAACCCAACTTGCAATTAACACCTTGGCTTCAGTGCTGTATCCTAATTGCTGCCTTCAAAACCTTGTTAAAAACTTCCCACACCAGCTTTTCACATGCTGCTGCTACTGTAGCTGTCCACAGTTGAGGAACACACACTGCTTAGGAGCTTCTCTGAAGTTGGACTGTAAACACAAACGCTCCTGTGGCCCTCCTCTGGATTCACTCCCAGAGGTCCATGTATTTCTTGTGCCAAGGACGCCAGAGCTGGATACAGTGTGCCAAGGAAGGGTCTTACAAGAGCAGAGTAGAAGGGCAGAACCATTTTCCTTAGTTTTCCTGCAAACCACACCTATACCACTTGAGCCTTGCCAGCTCCACCTGACATCCCAGTCCTGCACTTGGGATGACTGGCACAATGCCAGTTCAGCAGCAAGAGCTTCAACTCTGACCACAGCAAGACAAAGTCTCAGGTGTGAGCTGTAGTTTGAGTCTGACAGAGGAAGAAGGAAAAGGTTTGTTGCCAATTTACAAGGGCTGTGGTCAAAGGGTGCATCACGGGCTGTCAGTTCAGAGATGGTCACTGGGTCTCAGTGTAGCTGCAGGACTGACACTGAGACCTGCTGAAGGAATGGGTTTCCTGAATGGAAGGAAAAGCCTTCTGGGTAAATTGGCTAAAATGAGGATTAAGATCAAGCTCAGCAGAAGTGGAAGAACTGGGATAATTAAAGGGTTTTAGAATCCCTTCAGAACAGTAATACTGCTTTTTACTGGAATGGATTTCCTTAATTAGGTTTGGAGTAGGTAGGTGTTGCTGGACTGCAGGTGAAGCCAGGGCTGCTGCTGGGGCCAAGGGAGGACATCAGCCAGCAGCACTCTGACTTGTTTTTCCTAAGGCTGTTAATAAAATCCGCAGTGCCAGTGGTAAAAATAGTCACTGCTTCATACCTCAAGAATGACTTAGCTTTTGGGTTTAGAAAGCCCTCCCCTGTCATTACAAGAGGCAAAGAGACAAACACGCAAAAGAACATGTGCACCACAGAAGAGGTAACTGAAATTAGGCCAGGATCATTTGTGACTCAGTGACCCCCATCTCAGCATAAACATATCAAAAAGGGACAGCAGCAAATCCTTCATTCTGTGCTGCACTGAGTCTGGTATTAATAACTCCACTAGAAACAAACACGTCAGAGCTTTCCAAACAAGACAATGTGCTTCCTGGAAGCACTTTTAGCCTTGATGATAATAGGACCTGTTGCTACGTTACCATAAAGGTTCTCCAAATGAGATCCGGTCCAGTTCTGCAGCAGATGCTGAATAAGGATTGCTTGACCTGTGTCTCAGCTGCAATTTCACTGTTGGAATGAGGAGACAGCAAGGCCAGAACATGACACACAGGAAGATTGCTCCCATTTTCATTTGAGACATCAGGAAATTCCTCCAGAAGGCTCCAAAGTGTCTTTCAGTAGCTAACAGAGCAAACACTCGTGCACATGGCCCCTTCACCCTCACTGCTCAGTCACTGATATTACACCAAGAGGCATGGTCATCCCCTCTTGATACAAATTTCAGCTGAAGCCAAAACTCTGAATGCTTCCATCCCACATCTCAGGAGCAGTCAGCTTTAAGATTTAGGATTATGGCTCAGTTACTGGGCTTTCCAGTCCTGTGCTTAGGCAACTATATTCTTTGGGCTTTGCATAAAAATAAGCACACATTTTTCAGTAAGGAAGTACCTGTAACATAACCCTACAGGACCTACAATGTGCTTTGGGGTTCAAAAAGTTCTGGTTGCTTTCTATTCCAGACAGAGAAATACCAAGAAGTAATTAAGACAACACAACAAGGTTTTTTCATTGCCATCTGCAAACCATTTTTGTGTAGGAAAACATAACATCAAGACCACACTTTTGAAAACATTTGTTTGACTGCTGTCATCATACCTTGTCAGTAAATACGGTGAGAAGGAGGCTGGATTGTCCTGCTCTGAAAACATTGGCATGGAACCTCCCATTATCCAGAGACGGAAATACAACACGAGGATCACCTTCAAAGAAGAACATCTCAGTTAGCAATGCACTACTAAGAAGAGCTAAGGCCTCCAGCAAATGTTTTGTTGTAATAGCTCGCTCTCCATGTTGTGCAAAGCGAGTCACCCTGACACAGGGTGACAAACGTGCCAGCCCTCAGCACAGACAGCACACTGGGACTGTGTGTCCCTCTTCCATGTCTGCATTACTGACAGCAACTGACACATCTCAGTACCCACCACAAAGGCTGCATTCTGAAGGACAAATCCGTCACTCTGCTGCAGTGCAGACTGCAGAATTTTGCTATTGACCTCTACCTAAATGCAGAGAGGAAAGTCATGGGTGATGTCTTAAAAGTTCTTATCCTTTATCATGCTGGCATAGGTGTAGGAACAAGCTCCATTGGTGCTTCTCATGCTGCGCAATGCTAATCCCTGGAAGGATTTCTGCAAACCGCCACTCCTTCACCTTTCTGGCAACCACTTGTCAAAGGACAAGCAAAGAGATCTGGCTCCTGGAGCAGCACAGGGAGCTGCACACCCAGAACATTCCCATGGAGTGCTTGTTTTCTCCTCTGCAACATGTTGAGCCCTGTTGGAGCACACCAAGCAGTTTTTCTTACGACTCTTACTGAGCCCTGCATTGGCATTAATAGCATGTCACTGACAAGGCATCCCATTGCCACAGAGTCCTGTGTATTTAGGGCAGGAAATATCTGCAGATGATTACATAGTTGCAAGGGCAACCACTGTAAATCAAAAGTCTGAAGTGAAAACGCTAATGTTCTTGTTTCTGCCCAGCTGAAGTTTTCTAGACTAATTCCCCAGCCTGACCGTCCTGAGTCTTTTGGGATACCACTATGCATTGTTCATTCTCATCAAATACACAGAAATACATGGTCAAGTCCATTCATACTTACGTAGCTTATCACCAAAGCAGCTCTCTTCAAAAAAGGCCTTCCAGTATACAAGAAATTCTGGTTGTTATTTGCAGTCAGGTAGCTGAAATATAAGGAAACAAATGTTGGTTGAAATACTTTGGAACACTAACTCATTTTTCAAGCGTAGAAAAATGTGTACATTGATTTAACCACCCTAAATGCAATAATAATGACATCACTCCTACTCTCCAAAAGCCTTTCCACATAAGTAAAATATTGAGACTAGTTCAAGTAATACATACGATAATACATTGCAATTTTGCCATCAAAATCTGGTTTTGGTGTGTTTGTTCATTTGTTCTTTGTTGGGTTTTTTAAATCTTCAGTTAACCCCTTAATCCTCAGAAAAATCCCAGGCGTGTCTCACTGAGATTGCTGTCTTCATACTCCCAGAAGACTACGGAGACATCTTTTTAAAAGGTCACCCAAACAGAGCAATTCAATTTTAGACAGTGATTAAAATGCAAAAACTCCTGATTCCCAGCTCTCTGCTCAGTCTCCAGAGAGGAGAATAACTATCTAGCAGAACTGATTCTAAGCACTTTTTGGGAGCGTATTCTGCACGCTTAAGTTACATCACAAGTCTGCTGACAAAGTACTATGATAATTAATTGCACAAACACACAGGTGGCTTACTGTTGTATGAATGTTCATAAAACCCTTCCTGTTTCTCAATGAGTAAAATGAAACTGTATTTGGAGCCAAAACTATGCATTTATTTTAATATAGAGTAGAAGCACTTGCCAAAGTCTAAGGAACCTTCCTAATATATGAACAGTGACATTAATTTTATGATAATTCCATTTCTATTGAACCTTACAGATGCTCCATCATTGTAATAAAGCAATGACAAAAAGAAATACAGAAGGGACAACAAGAATATTTTAAGCATATTTTAGGTAAAAAACTATTGAAAAAAATGACAACTTATTTTAAGAAGTTATAAATATCAAGTAAACAAAATAAATTCAGAAGGAAAACATTTGTAGTTTCTTCTGTATAACATACCGTCAGTATCAGGATACACTATTTAAATGATTTACAAAAACTGCAGTTTGTATTGCAACACCTTCAAGCAAGCTACCTTTCCAAGCATGAAATCCTCATATGTTTCTCCTGTGAACATTGAGCATATAAAACACATCTTATTTCCTCTCCAAATTCCTTAAGACAGTCTATCACCTGATTGCTTCCACCTTTCAAGTCTTTGAAAAAACAAGACTGAAGCACTTGCTAATGCAGCCAAGAGTCTTTAATACCTGGGGCTTTGTTCAAATTTTCTATAGTAGGAAGTTTGCAAGCCTGGTCACCATGGTGAGATGAAGAAAAGATTACACTGCAGAAAAAAAGCACCAGGGCAAAGCCAGCAAGAAACAGAGGCAGCATTTACCAAGATGAAAGAAGTACATCTGGATGGTCTGTACAAAGGAATTGCTCTTCGGAAAACTTCCCTAAGTGCCATGCCTAAAACTAAGGAACTAAATCACACAGCATAAAGCAAGCCAGACAAGTTTTAGTCTTTGGAGTCTACTTATTGCGAAATGTTGACATTTAAGCATCAAACCTGACTTAAATGTCAGACTAGTCTTCAAGGGCTGAACGCCTCAAAGTGCAAAGTTTCTTGGGTTCCCACTGATTTTAATCAGGCTGCAGCAAGTACAAGAGAGATGAAACTAAGCCTTCAGCTTTGTCTCCCTGTGAAAGGTCAGGTTGGCCTTCAAGTGCTCACCATGGCCTGGCTCCAAAGCCCACCAGAACCAAAGGGAAAGCCTCTCACTGACTTTAACAGCATTTGGACCAAACCCCAGGCTTTTGTCCCCTACTGAAACCCTTTATGAAACTCAACCCCCTTGTGATTTGCAGCAGGAAGTGTTTGGTTGCACTTGGTTTACATTTTTACGTGTGGAGAGAGGAGAGCCCTCTATTCATCACGCTGTCTGACTTTTCAAGAACCTGTTTCTACTCGCTTTTAACTCTCTGCAACACTTTAGGCAGGAATTTTCCACTACAAATGTTTGCTTTAAGTAGAATTATTCTGGGAAAAGATCAACTAGAACAGTTCAGCTCTTTCTCCAAGGTTTCAATTACAGACAGAGGAGCACTTTTATCAGTGTCAATAAGTCCACCAACTTCATCCTTGAGAAGCAGCATCACCTCCCACCAGTGACCAAAAACTTGTGAGGTGGCCATTATCTCCAGGTCGTGTGTTTGCTCTCCTCCAGAGAAGTCACCCTTGGTCAGGTAATGAATAATTCAATTAAGAAGAGAAACTTTTCTGTTTTAGAAAGCTGCTGTCCTGAAGTCTGTCTGGAGACCACAGAAGATAATATGATTCAATGCTCAGCAAGTCTGCTCTCCACCCAACAGATTGATGTGAGAGAGTGGCATAAATGGTCAGGTCACATTCAATGCCACAGAGCTTTAGAAGAACCATGTGGCTTTCCAGAGCACCTTACTGGGCTACCACTTGTGTCAGGGAAGGTAGCTGGTAAAACATCCCACATCTGGTGCAAGTGAAAGAACAACACATCGTTTGTGTCTTAAAACTAAATGAACTGCAAACGGGACCTAGATGCGGAAGTTTGCTAAATGCCGGTGACACAGCATGTGAAATGTAGTAGCTTTTTACATGTAAAATTGCAGCAGCTTTTTCCACATAAAATCTCAGCTTAAAAACATGTCTAAGGTTACACTGAACTTCACTCAGACAACCTAAAGATCAGCCAAAGCTTTTAATTTTGTCTTTAGCTAGGAGAAGCAAAGAAATTACTATTTCAACAGTTAAATGGTTTTATACTCCTTTTTAACAGCTGTCTTGTAAAAAGTCATTTACAGTTCAGATTTCCATGCATTTGCCAACCTCTCCAGGCTGCCAAACATCCCTCGGTTCATGGGAACCACTCCCTATCACCTGCTCCACCCCAACCAGCACAATTGTGGTGTCAAAAACATGCCAAAACACACGCATGCATTCACTTCCACATGACAGCAGCTGTGGGACATAGTTAGGGAAAGCGTGCTGATGCTGGCCTCACACAGCAATATGCTACCTCCATAGTATGTGAACATTTCAAGGTGTGGGTCTTCTAGACTTTCCTAAGAAAATTTAGATCCTCAGGTTGGCTAAACAAGTATAAAAAGAGCCCATCTGGGCGAAGGTTCCACTTCTGCTTTATGCCAGCTTTCCCACAAAACAACCCAGCATGTAATTGCCTGCTTGCAATCTTTTAAAAGCCTTTCAGGAATACTTCCCAAAGCAACCAGAATCACAACAAACAATAAATCCAAGGGAAGCTTAATAATGCAAGGACTCCCCTCACACAGCTCAGGCAGAGGCCGAGACAGATATTTGGCAATCCCAGCTTCCTGAAAAGCACGGCTCATCCTGGAATCAGTTACGTCATCAGGGCACTCTGAGGTTTTATAATTGAAGACAGCAGGGTAGGTGGCCCAGTAAAATTCAATATGGTGCAGTTTACAGCACATACACTGGTACCAGATGGACTTCTCTAATAAGTAGGCAGCTTTTTTAATTTGTCTGTGCCATTGGAGGCACCTCGAGCTTACAGAACAGTGCGGGGCAGCTCCTCAGCTGCTGTTCATTGCCACAGCTCTGTGAGCTATTGCAGACCACTATTGGAAACAGGTTTATCCCACACTGCAGCTGACTCAGCTCTGACATAAAACGTGAGCTTGCTCTGTGCTCTCTTTGAAGGCTTTCTCAAGGGAAGTGAATAAACAATTAAGATCTGTGATGGACTCTCCATCAAGAATGTCTAAAAGACCAGTATAAGTAAGTAGCAGAACAGGTTTGGTATATCAAGAGATTGTTTTGGCCAGGTCACTTCACTCTGAGAGGATCACTGCTCTCATTCATATTCTTCTTAGGAAACAGATCCTGCTCCCAGAAAGCACCAGACTTTTGAACTAGCACTTTCAAACCCCTAATACTACAGGAAGATATTGGAACGATGAATAAAAAAGCAAAGCTGTTCTCTTATTCCTAATTATTGATAACAGTTAGACACCTCTAATCAAGAACATTTTTATACTTAGAAGGGGCTAATTTAAGTGCATGTCAAAGCTTTAGGTCATTGATAGATGCACACCTAATCCTAAATCACCTTGACAGACTCCCCTTTTCAGAATAAACAAGTTTTACAGGAGCCATATGCTGCCTATAGAGACCACCTTACTTTTCCTACTTTAAGAGGACTTCCTTATCATCTGTCCAGACAGCTGCATCTTACATTGGAGAAGTATCTTTTCCAGCCTATAATCCTCCTTAAGGACAGCCTTTGAAGAGAAAGTGTGTGTATGTGATATCCCAGGGAGAAAACAAGAATAAAAATCCATCATGGAGTAAAAAGAACTGATTTTTTTTTTTTTAATCAATATATTCTACCACGTCTGGATATTTAACTTGCTTAAAGTACTTGACAATTCAGAGAAATAAAATACCAGTTATAGCTACAGGTTTTGCAAGGGAGAAGAAAATCCCTCCTGTCCCTTCTTTATGAGTAGTCTTGACCTTCTCCACAGCATGTGTGTGGCATCTTTGCTCCTTATCTCCCTGCAGAGCCTTAAGCCCCAGCTACCACTACCCACGCAGACTTAGATACATAAACACACACAAACAGGAGCAGTTTTACAGACCCTTTTGGGAGCCATGGCGAGGTTTTATGAAAGCCACAACTGTTTTAACTCATTTTCACTGATAATGTCATGTATTCTTTGTGTACGTTTTCAGTTGTGACCATATTTGGAATTCTTGCTCTTTATTTGCTTTTTGGGGAAAGCAAGGGCAGGGCATACACAGCGGAGAAGGTGATCCCACTCATGGCTTTTCCTCATTCTCTTCGGCAGTACGTACTTCACTTTGTGTGGGATGAAAGTAGAGGAAGAAAACTGGGAGGAACAGGGAGAGGAGGAGAGAGAGGCACAGTAAGGGATCGGGAATAGAAAGAGAAAAAAGGAAAGTAGCAAAATGCACTGAACAGATTAAAGATGTGACCGAGAACATGAAAAAGGGTCTCTCTTCATACCAGACATTCCACCGATGCAAGGAGAAGACAAAGTGGAGGAGGGCTAACAGGAAAAATAAAACTTAATGGCCACCAGATCCACCAGATCTTGGGAAACCAAAGCACCAAGCCTGCAGTTGAAAGCTTCCATTGATTTCAGTCATTTTATTTCCCCTGCATCACACACACCTGAGGCATAGGCTCATTTCTCCCTGTCCTAGCCCAGTGAAGGGCTCCTATGGACATATTTCAAGTAACTGCACTATAAGCCACACTGACAGCAGCTTTGGCTGCTCCCCACATTGAGCTACAAATCCCTATTTACAGCTGCCTTGTGCTTTTGACAAGCTTTATTCATTCAGGCTGAAAATTTTCTCTTCCAGGAGTTTATGTTAAGCTGAAACTGTTTTCTTCCTCGAAGGTACCCGGTAAAACAGTTTGTCTTTACCTGAAAAAGCAATCAGAGAGCTTTGCCCATGTTGACAACCTTCTGAAAACACTTTATTGGGAAAAATCAGTGGTTGCAGTTTGGAGCAGGGATTTGTTGCTTAGTAGAGGGACTGCAGAGATGCTGGTTTTGATTTCAGTGACAACTGACTGTTTCTGGGCACGTGACAAGCCACTGGGAAAAGATCTCTATTTGCAATGCTCACTAGAGATCTGCAGCAATTCCCCAGGGTCCCCAGCCCTACCAAACACCATCTAGAACGAACAGCATCAGACTCTCCTTGCATTGTTCCTGCAGAGCCATTGAGATAGGAAACTCTCTCTCCTGCAATGCCTGTGTCCAGCCTGGAGACCATTCGCTTGGACTGCAAAGGGCTGAAAACACGTCTGGAGAAGAGGCTACGTGAGTAGGTGAGGAAGAGAGGGGATAAAGGGAGAAGAAAGGAAGGCAGGCACAAAGAGGAAATGGAGGGGGGAAAAGATTAGCCAGGAAAATATATATGGTAATATTCAGATCTATGCTGCTGTCAAAGATCCAGTGGCAGTATCCAAAAAATCTGCTACCACTGGAGTTCCATTCACTGGTGTTCCCAGTGAGCCCTCAGGAGCTGGACTGAAGCACAGGAAGTAAGAAAAGCCCTGCTTTCCCCAGAGCAGCTCCACTTGTAAAAGCAGCTGTGCTTTCCCTGAACCAGCCTAGCAGGAGCAGATGAACCCAAAACCACAGAGGACTCCAATGAAGTGACTGCTGCATTTGTGGATGCGCAGGGAAGATCTGGCAGCACGGGAATACAGCCACTCCCAAAACACAGCACCACATCCATGGACCACACTCACTATGCCTGCCCAGGCTTGGTAACGAGGCTGCTTGCACAGGCAGGGAGCACAAGGTCTGCACAGTATGTAAAACACTCCCTAATCACAAAAAACTATCTTTCTTAACAGCTTTTACGTGAAGAAAGGAGGAGGTTATCCTCCTCTCATGCACAAGGCTCAGTTATCCTGAGTGTAAATTACTGAGGTGTCCCTGGGAATCAAGTGTCCCAGTAAAAATTTACAAATAAGCTGTAAAAGATGTGGAAGCCTGCTGCCTTGCTTTGATGCTCTCTGTAAAGGGTTTCATGTCACTGAACAAACACCGGTCCAGCTAGTTTGTTAATTTAAAGAAGGAACCATGGTAGCTTTAACATTATATATGGCCAATTAGGGAATTAAGGATCTAACTTTTTGCTGTTGTCTTTGACAAGGACGCCAACAAGCAAACTTTGAAAAGACAAACAACCAACAAACAAAAAAAAAGCAGAGAAAGGGCACAGAAATCAATGTCTGTGAGACTGTCACTGGTTTTGGTGATCCTCCCTTCTGCTCCATGCATCATCCCCAAAGGCACTGAGAGGCACTGACAAGAAGCATAGGGGTAGGTAAGAGTCAGCTGGTCCCAATCCCAAACCTGAAACAACTTTTTAAGGAATTGAAAGTACTTTACTGATACAGAGTTTGACTTGAGGAAGAAATAAAACTTTTACAGGCAAAGCTGCTCTCAATCAGGGCAAATGCTCAGTTGTGGGTCATTGAGTTTTTTTTCTTAAATATATTTGCTCAACTGAATTATAAGTCATCATTTCAGGTTGGGTCATCCCCCCCAAAAAACCTTTTGGAAATGCTTGGAGAGGCACATAATGTTTTAGTTGTGAGCATTTCTGGTAAATCAAATAGAAAGGATAAGCAAAAGTCTGGTTTCAGAAGGAAATACAGGCAGAATTTGCAAAGAAATGTAGGGAGAAGATCATGTGAACCACTGGGAAACGTAGCCTGAAGAGTATTGCTCTATTTCAAAACCTACTTGTTTTGATTTTTTTTAACTCTTACATAATTTACTTGTAATCTGAAACTACTTGTAAAATGCTATTTAAATCCACAGTTTGCACTTAATTGATATTGGGGGGGAGGGGTTGGAAATCGGGCATCTACAATTTCAATCCTTGACTTTGAGATACCAGGATGAAAAGAGGAGCAGTCCTCACACTGTGTTGATGGGGGAGGAGGACCGTGGACCTTCAGGAAAGTACAACAAAGTGTGT